GCTCGTGGAGCAGATTGTCGAGAACATCATGGTGGTGAGGGCTTTCACGCCGGGCGAGTACCAGGTCCTCGACACGGGGTCGGTGCTCTGCACCGAGGACCGGAAAGTGTTTGGCGTGGTGTGGGAGCCGGATCGGCATCCTGATATGGGAACATCATAGCCATGAAACGTTCCATGGAAAGATCTCACAGTAAAGTGCCGTCACTGGAGACGAAAAAGTCATTGGCTGTTGCTAGGTTTCCTGGAAAGAATACTTCCATAGGTTTTCAATCTAGAGCCATGTCGCGCTCGAGGGGGGTACATGTCGTTGAGCCACGATACGGACGAGCTGCAGTCGATGTCCCTGATCAAGTGTCACCCGCAAAAGTGCCTGGCCGTTCAGTCGACAGCTGAAGTAACGAGTCAGCCCCTCTTTCCAAGAAAAGCCACAACCCTGAGGAGAATTTGTCAACAGGTCTTGCAGATGTGAGGAGCGTCTGATCTGCTGAGAAGCCAAGAAAACTAAAGAGGCTGCAAGATGTGGCCCGAGGCGTTGCAGTAACATAAGGTAGCTGCTTTCTTCACACCCCACGCCCCTCCTTGGGCTCCCCACTGAGCTTCGCAAATACCACGCCTCGAGTTGGTCTATGATCAACTCCCTGCTCTGTGGAAGGTCACAGTTCTCGGGTACATCCGTACATGAGGAGAAGGAGGGAGGGAGGGACAAGGAGCGAGAGAAAAGAAACCAGGAGTGGGATCGCCGCGAGGGCACAGCAGAACGCCTCACTCCCTCGGGGCTTAGGTGGTCATAAGAGGTTGGACCAATAGAGGACCTTTACGAGCGAGACTGACTCTGATCGAGACCTGCAGGGTGTTGGTGACATGCCTGGCCGAGAGATTGGTGGTAGAGCCCAGAGGGCTGTTGTGAGAGCCACGGTGACCCATGCTATACTTTTTCGACCACCAAAGAGCCGATTGCGCTACAGAGGACAGTGATACCTCGTATGAGTTAGCAGGCAGGGAAAGGCGCGATGGTGAGGTACGGAGGTCGTGCGGTTTGGGATTGAGTGGCATGCCTTGCAGCAATGTCGTCAGACTCGTATCTTCCCTGGAGAACATCGCCCAAGCCGTCGTGCTGGGACCGAACCGTTGTGCAGAGTCTCCATCCAGGTCATGCAGCCAAAAGGAAGCCAGAAAAAGCATGTAATACTGTGCAGTATATTTAGGTTACCCGGACTCAGTCTGTTCGAAGGACGCGTCAAATTAGGAAGCGCCATCGCGTACTCCGTAGATCCCGTTGTTCGTTTGGTGTCATCCAGCCCCCACCCAGCAGGGAGGCAGTGGGAGGGCTACCGAGCGCGGTTTGCGCCTCAGCTAGGCATGACACCTTGGATCTAAGAAAGAGTACTCCGTAGACGTGTGTGTTGAGTTGGTGTCTAACTTTGTTTTTCCCGCCCTCGGATGTCGCGCTGAGCAGCTGGGGCGGCAGACTGGCTCAAGGGGACCCGTACCACGGATTTTGGGTAGATATTCCTGGTCTCGATTCTCCAGTCTATATTGAGGAGCGGCACCCATCTGTTCCGTCATCGGAAGTGAACCATCAGCCAGACACGGCCGCAAGGTCAGGTTGGCAGTCGATGAAGGTGGAGTATGCGTGAAGCGCGGCAAGCAAGGACCGCATGTTCAAGCTCTTTGCATCATCTGATGAACATACTTGCTCGAGATGATGCAGCTTCCCACCGCTCTCTGCCATAAACCTGTGTCGGTGTACGGGAACATGCAGATGCCACCAGGGGCGGCTTAGGGGGAACTCGTCTCCTGCGCATTGTGCCTATTCCTGATGATGCTCTATGTACTGGCAGGCTCGCCGTCTTGGCTCGCCCCTCCCCAAAGTAACGGTGAGTTGGGAGATTTTCTCCCCCCTGCACCCTAGCTTTTACAGTTCTGGGCCGATCGGATGGAGTCGTCCCCAAGAGCCAAGGCAAGGTAATGCTTGTCGTCGATCTCTACTGTGTCGTCGTCGCTGGTCACCCGTTCCCGAGGGACTATTGACTAGGTTGGTCTTTCGTCTAGGTAGTCTCGAGCGACGACCATCCCAGAGCAATTTGCCCGCTTCTCCCGCGTGATTGTAAGCTCGACTAGGCCTGGAATTTGAAGCACTCTGGATCATTGGAGGTCGACCCATTCTGGGCACGACGGAAACGCGAAACGTAGCCCTCGAGGGGCTAGTCCTGGCGATCATTACTCCTCCCACGTGGTCGCAAATCAAACAACAACCGGTGAGGCTAATGAGCTATCAACGCGGGACCAATAGCACCAGGCACGCCGTGCGTGGATGGCAGAAAGTGTGCGGTAGAGGAAGACCCAGTCGAGATTGTGAGCGGCAACTTCACGGGTAAGCCAAGCCAAGCCATTGGGTTTCGTGAACCCCCATATTCACATGAGAGTGAGACTGAAGAGTCGAGGGGAAGAAGCGACCGGGATCCTGAAAGATCTGGAAGCACGGCAGGCTAGTGCTATGTCGCTCAAGATATCGCAATCAACTGTGTCCGTACCTTGGCCCACTGTGTCCACAGTCCAACGCAATGAGCCAAGCCGTGTTGGCGCTGCGGCTGCCCGTGGCACCCTTGGCTGCGTAAACCACGGGCTTGATGATGTCCCGTCGCTAGAGGCACGACTTACCGAACAGGGAGGCCTAGAGTTTGACAATGACACTTTCGTAGATGAGCTAGCTATCCGGTTAGCCTGTTAGCATCGTCTTGGGCCACATAAATGGCGACAGAATAGGTCGATAGACTCGCAAAACAATTCGAATGCTGGTCATCCCCACGCTGAATTAGCTCCTCACGACACGTCTAGTCCAGTAACGCCCAACGCCACGAAACGCCTTCGTTTCTTATTCCAACATCTCTCCACTTTCTCATATTATCTTGGAAAGTTCTTCTTGGCCGACTGACATGACACGAACGGGGAGTCGGGGGCGACTCCAGCATTGCCAGCATGGTCATCCCGAGTAAAAGAAAATTTGGTCGTGTCACCAGACCAGGTCTAAACGAGAGTGAGGTACGGTAGTCACGGTACTCCGTATAGAGTACGGAAACGCAACGCAACGCAACACATCTTTGCGAGCATCTACACAGAAGATGTTCCTCTTGTGTTCCTTTCTTTTTGCTGATTGGTTGCACACGCCTTGCTGCAGGATCGTGGAAAAACAAACCGAGATGAGGTATGCTGACGGCAACCCGCAGAGCTTCCAGAGACTTGAACGGTGCGACCAGGTCATTTGCGTGCCATACTGTCGTGCTACGATCCTGGCGCCCGCTCAAAGTCGTCTGGAATCACGGGTTCTACCACGAGCTCTAGAATCGCGTCGAGAAGATGATGCTGCCGTTACCGATTAGAGCCAGAATACAGGGATGATCTCGTCCGGTACGACAGGCCACAAGTCAAGTGCTCAGTCCAAATGCTGCCGGGGACTTGTCGCGCGTCGTGATTGGAATTGCTGTATCAACAAAGTTTATGTGAGATGGCGCTGCCCAGAGAAAGCAGTGCTATGCTGCAGCGTCAATTGAGTCGAGGACTTGAAGATACATAGGATACTTTGCCCAACAATCGATTGCGCACGCAATCTGATATGCAACATACAGCTGGCGAAGCGCCTGAATCTTGCAGTCATTGAGCGTAAAGTTGGTATTGATCTTTTGAGGTGTGCGCCCGGCATGTGCCTTATTCGACGGCAAGCAGCACGAAGTTCCCCTCAGATCCAGCAGTCAGGGGCGGGTAGTTGAGACAAGTCTTTCGAGCCTGGTGTCTTCGATCCACGAACCAGTATCCGAAGGACTGGTTCGTGGACAAATCAGTGCATTGGCTGAATTCGCATAACAAGGTCGCACAGGTAGTCCGGGGCACACGTCGTATAACGTCTTTTGCCGAGTGCGCATGAGAGGTAATGATCAAGCTGTCATACTGTGGCGTAAAGGAAACGGTCCCATCGAGGTAAGTTGTATACTGCCTTTTTGAGGTCCGACGTCTTTCTGCTGTTGGGTACGTCGAGCCCAGATACCGATTATGACAGCCGTCTCTTGAATAACAAGTTTGAAGGAGCAGGAAAATCAAGGCCATGGCTCACTTTCTCGCTTAGGGTTGCTCGACCTCTACATGCCGTCATGTGACAAACAAGGTCGCCATTGCATGAATTGGAGGTTTTCGTGAGGCTGCCAAGAGCGTTGGCAACAGCGCGAAAGAACCCAGAGACGTGGTTATGCCGAAGTGTGTGGCTGCTGTGCTGGTAACAAGGCCATACTTGGAGTAGATTAGCGAGAGTGAAGACACGGCAGCAGCCATTATCCGTATGCAAGCCGAGGACTGTACCAACATACCGAGCTGAAAGTAACCATGGATGAGCAAGGAAGGTTCTCTTTTGAGCCCCAGGCAGTTGTCCAAACGACATGACTGTGGCACAAGGCCGCATGCTCGGCATACCAACCACGACTCTCTCCCAGCTCAGCTCGGAACACAGACCAATCATGGTGTCTCGAGCACGATCAACCACATTGCCGCCTCCCGCACTGGAGAATGGTGTTGCACAGCAGTTTGATGGTAGCAGGCGTTGAAGAAAGCGGTCGTATCAGACGAGGGTGTTGCGAGGGTGAGCGCAAGATCTGCTTCAAGGCCAATATGGAGGTGCATGATCTTATTAGGTGAGACCTTCTCTCTCTCTCTCTCTCTCTCTCTCGCGATCATCGCCCTCACCCCGCCGAGACGCTTTTGCGGCTAAACACGTCGTTCCAGAGCTCAGTTGGTAACTTGGTAAGTTCACCATACCGGAATGTAGCGTATCCATGGTTATGCATGCAGCAGCAAGGCATTTTGCTATGCGAATCAAGGAGTAGGTACTCCGTACAGAATTTCTGGGAAAACGGATTAGGTAACTCCCAATGCCTATAGCCCCGTCTCAACAAACAGGGCGTTCAGTGCTGCAACGCGCTCCCGCACATTGGCCTGTGGTCGGACAGGCGGTCGACAGCAACAGGGTCGCAATCCATTCTCTTGAACCTGTTCGGCATCGTTGTTGGTGAACGCTATCTCAGATGACGCGACCCAAGACATGGTAAGGAATGGCCCATGGGTAGCATGTTTGAGGGGCTCAGCTGCCAGGTTCGGGGGAGCGCTAATTCGCGTTTAGGCTCTCAAGCAACGGCTCTGTCCTGTTTGCCAAAGCCTAGAGAATGCCTCATCTAATTACCTCGAGTGCTCACGTAGCGTCGCCCCCGTTGCCGTGACCGTGGACTACGGACAACATCATGCGTACCATGGCCTTCAACTGATATGGTCGAGAATAGAAGGAACTATTCATCATGATGTCCTGGATCCACGGTCCTGGGCCTTCCGTTACGGCCACGAGGTGGGCCCGAGTAGAAATGTCTCGCATCACGCAAATCAGCATGTCGAGTTTCCTACCTTAGTTCTCGGAAGCGAATCTGCAACATGCGGGCCTCGAGGCAGCAATGAAGGCAAGGTACCGATTGTCTGCCCCTTCCCACCCTGGCGGGATGACTTGCATATCAAAGACATGGTGACAAGGACGAAGCAGGTGGATTGCGTTAGGGAAGATTGTACCAGGGCACAAGTGGGCAAAGTTGCACCAAAGATGAAGTGGTAAAACGGTAACAAGCGAGAGACCGTCGGTGAGAGGGCAAGCAAGGTGGGCTTGTGTGTGTCGCGCGAGATTGGCTGGACTAAGGTAGAAGACCACGCTTTCCAGGGCCATGGTAAATGTCGTGGCGAGAGACAAGCCAAGCGAGCCAAAGTCGGAGCCAAGGTGTGATGCCATGATTGGACACCTGCCACACCCGTAACCGCACCCGTAACCGCAACCGCAACCGCACCCGCAAGCGTATTGGCATCGGGCGGATGTGCCATGATGAACGGACAGTAGGCCGACCGGAGCATGAACGGCAGAGCCTGTGGCCTACGTCTCGTCCGCTTCCATCCAATGTTGCCAATGATGGTGTCGAGCCTGCTAGGCATGGCAAGTGGATGGCGCTATCTAAACGAGTAGAGGGAGGCGCCCGAGGTCGATGTTTACGGCCGTAGGCGAATGGTGCCGGCATTGTATTTGCTCTAGGAATAAGGCGGCCGACTGTGTTGGGCGAGATACGCACAAATAGCCCTTGGGGCAGGTCAATAAGCATAAGCAGAAGCAGGCTCTGCCTACCTTGACTTACTGTATAGAATACCTACCGGGAGACGAAGAAGACGGCGTGTTAGGTAGCGTTGTCGCATGGTGTGCATGGGTAAGTAGGGAGCACGCATGCGGCTTCGCGTTGTAGGATGGAGTGAGAGATGGCGAGCCAGGGAGGATTGGGAGGTGAAGAGAGCGACGAGAACAGCGTGATGGAGTCGAGATGATGACGATAACAACGGGCCTGGGAGGATCCGTCCATGGATGGCCCTGTACAGAGTAGTACCCGAGGGATTAGCTGGGCGCCTCGATGCGAGGTAGACTAACGAGGGGCATGTCGACCTCGTGGAGTACCCGTGGAGGACGCTCTAGACTCTAGAGGGAGTCGAGGCTCGTGGTGTTTTTGCGAATTCGGGATGAATGCTTTTTCCAGCAAGCAAAGTGCAAGTGTAGCCGAAGCGGAGGCGGATGAGCAGCAAGTCGGATGTGGAAGAGGATCGAAACGGCGGGCTGCAGAGAAGGGCTCGTTGGCTCGTTGGCTCGTTGGCTCGTTGGCTCCCACACTAGCGAGGCACGCTCCCTAGCAGGCGAGGGAGAATGCAGGTTGCGGCGCAGCAGCAGCAGAGGGAGATGAACAGAGAGGAGAGTGCCCAAGGTAAAGCTTGATGGTTGAAGCTTGTTGGTTGCTTGCTTGATGAGGCGACTGGAGGGCAAGCCGCAAAAGGATGGCGAGAAGTGAGGAGGAAATGTCAGGGGGGACCCTACTCTCCGGGACCTGGAGGACGGGACTCGATGAAGGAATAAGAAAGTGTTAGCGGCAGAAGCGGGGGAAGAAATCATCAGATGTTGGACTTGTGGCGGTGATGATGCGTTGCTGCTCGTGGTGGTTATGGTGGAGGACGATATTGGGTTGAGGGTGGCCGTGAGGGAGGAAGATGTCGTTGTCACAGAAGTAAGTAACCTGAGGCACATGGATGTAAAAGTGCGAGATCTAACTGGGCAGGTGCCTTGACTTGGGATCTTCCTGCCCTTGAGAGAAGTATCTACCTTGGCTGTTTAGACACATGGCCTTTTCCTTCCATGGCGTGGAAAGGTGAAGAGATTCGAGGAAGGAAGGGAGTGAGGCAGGGAGGAAAGACGAGGAAGCCGTCGTATGGCGTGCCTGCCCGCGCTTCCATAGATGACTACCTACCTTACCCTCGCAATGTACATACATCGATACGTCTTGGTTCACTACTACCTTACCTAGGTACCTTGGGTAGGTAGGGATTCGCTGAGTGCCTTCCTTACCGGCCTTGAGCAGGTACGGGTAGGTGAGGTACTGTTCTCACCTTTTGTTCCTTACCTACTTTAGCTCAAGGTAAGGCAGAGAGCAGTCCGTTACGTACTTTACCCAAGGTAGGTAGTGGACGGAGGCGAGTTACTATCGGCACAGTCAGCGCCGCCATGGCAGTCTAGGGCACATGGTCGCTGAAACTCGCCTGATGTCTGCTGGAAATCCGCCGGGACCAGACTGACAGCGGCCCTTGCCTTGCGCTATCCACGTCGGGGCTTTGGGGGCGGTGTTGGTGCGGCCGGGACTTTACCTACCTTAGGTAAGCCAGGTACCTTACTTAGGTTCCCTACCTTACGTACATTACCTACCTTACCTTAGGTACCTAGGTTACTTATCTACTCCGTACCTACCTTAAGGTACTGTGTAAGGTATGTTTGATGGCTCAATTCCTCTGAGATGGAAGGCGTGGAAGGCGTGAAAGGAAAGATCGGTGACAGGGTTCCTGCCTGACTGCTGGGAATGGAAGTGAGGGAGATACAGAGGTACCTAGAGGCTGGAGGGAAGGCCCGGCCTCCGACGCGACTTCCATGTGTAAGGCAGGTAAGGTAGGTACATCGAGTTTGTTCCTCAGGTCAGGGCAGGTCAGGGCAGGTCCGTCCATTCTTGGAAGAGGTCTGTCCTCCTCCTTCCCGCCCGCCGTCGCTCTCCTCCCGCGCGCACTAAGGTAGCGAGATGGACGATAAGGTACCTTAGACGGCACACAACACAGACGGCATGGATGGTGGCTCATTCCATGGGACCATTTCCTCCTGCTCCTCTTCTTCCTCTTCCTCTTCCTCAATCCTCTCACCACTTTTACCACCATGGGAGACTGAGACTCCAACGCTCCGCTACCATCTACCTACTACGCCTACCTCCCTCACCGTCCCCGCCATCACGGCCGTATGCGTCTCTAATTGTCATGCTTCTTCTACCTTACCGAGTACCTACATCTGCCGCCGCCTTGTCTGCCACTACGCAGTAAGTAGGTGTAGCTACCTCGGCGCCCCCCTCCGCCCCCCTTCAATGTCGCCCACAACCTCACAGCAACAGCATTCGCGAGCCAGAGATTGGGTGCTTACCGCTCACCACCGCCGCACCGCCTGTCTGCGAGATCTGCAACAAGGGTTCTCCTTGTAATCCTCCTTTAGCCGTCGATCCAGTCTTCTCCAAACACCCGAGTCTTTCCAAAGGGGGCAATGGAATGATCCCACGAGGCTTTGAACCTGGTCTATCTGACCAAACGTACGCTATCAAGTACGCATACGTACGAATCATACGCCCCGATACCTACCTAGCCTTGCAATTGCTAGCCCAGCTTCGCTCGCCCGTCATGCTGTCCATCAAACATGGCAACGGCATGACTCCTGGCCCCCTGAAGCCTGAAGGAACCCTCGCCTTGATGGTCCTGTCGCCTCCATCTTGGCAACTCGAGTTGGCCCTCTCAAACTTTGACCGTCAGACGAGCCCTATCCGCCTCACTTGCGCTACTCTGCACACTACCGGTGTCAGTCGTCGCCTTACCGTCACGAATTACCATCTTCGTCGTCACCCTAGTCCTGGCGACCAACCCAGGGGCGCCTCGAGCCAAGCTTTGTGAGGGGGTCACTGTAGCCACCTTCTTTGCCGCCTATCGTTCAATATCTCTTCAACTCAACTTGAAGAGAGTCGCCGACTGTGTCTTCTGCAGGAGCAACTCGCCAGATCAATTCCTGTAACACCCGCCGCTGGCCGCTACATGCGTGCCTGTGCAGTGTTAGGTTGTGTGACTTGCCTCACGAATGCACACATCGCTCCCCGGACCTCAGGACTGGGACGTCCTCACTTTTGTCATCCTAGTTTTCAGTGCCAATGGCATGGATGGGGGCCGTGACTGCACCCAACACAGTATGGGCAAATGGCTGCCCGCTCCACTTCCGGAACGGTGGCTCTCGAGATGTCGCCTGGCCGACTGTCGGGCTGGGAACACAAACCCCATGGACTTGAGCAAGCCAAGCAAGCACCAACGACAACCGAAAGAATTGCAACCAAGGCCATGCACTTATTGCTTCGAGCCTGTAGACAGCGGCCGTGTGCCATTTTCTCGCGTCGCCTGCGAATGCAGCCATCTGCTCGTTCGTCGGTACTCGCTCTGAGCTCGTACTTTGCTACACCAACGTGTTCGAAAAGACATCGATTTGTATCTTTGCCATGTTGGACCGAGTCTAGCGAGGACGCCGCGGCGGGAAGCCACCAACCTTTCCAAAACCACCCACGTTGAATATAAGACCGCAACCGTTCCCAGGCTATCGTCGACGTTGAGCCATCTCATCGCCTGCCCACTGCGAGCCAACCATTCGACACTAGTCACGGTCACTGGAATCTCTATTTGCTGGAGCCCAACCCGTCCTGATTTCATCACCAACTGGTATCGGTCGTCGTCATCGTCGACAACTCCCACACCCCCCTGCTGGCTGTCATCGACCCATCGCATTTCACTTTGCGGCATCGCCCGCCTTTCCCATCTCACCCCAAGCTACCGCCCGTCAATTGGAATTAGGTGCAGTCGTCTCAGACACGAGTCTCACGCTTGTTGACTCTCCGACAACCACTAGGAACGAACCAACAGCGGCAAGTCCACCAAGCCAGCCCACTAGGCACCTCGTGAAGAAGGCCCATCCAACGGGGAGGGGAATTGGGTTGTGAACAGTAAGTCTGTGCCTGACATGACAGCGAGACACGGGCGCTACGGAAAGAAGTTGAGTTGACGTGCGGAGGCGGGCAGATAGCCAGACACAGATCCGCCTATTCCCGTACAAGACGGCCGCCAATTCACAGGCCCACGCCGCCAGGCCACGCCAGGCCTTGCCAATTCTGTGCCGTGAGTCTTGAACTCTCTTTTCTGGACCCCTTCCACGTTCCCCCGGCTGAGCCAGCCATCTTTGATTGCGCTGCTCTACCCAAGCAATAAAATGGCCGGTCATGGCGCCAACCCGTCCCGCCCCCCGCCGTCAAGGCTTACACGGGAGACTGCCATGGCTTTTCGAGTCCTGGGAAACACACACAGTGCTGGCTCGTAGGCCGAGACGGATCACAACAAGATGGGTGAGTTTTGGGTTTCGATTCGCCCAGATTTGAACCTCATCAGCGTCGACCGACAGAGTGGCCTCGGCAGTACAGCTCGCTAGATGATCTCCTCGGTGACAGCTCTGGTCGAAACCCCCAAACATTTCCCTCCACACGCACGCACACACGCACACATACTCACGCACTTGGGTCCTTGTGGAGGCATATCGACCAGGGCGTTCGTTCAGCTGCGCTGGGGGGCCCTGCTCGGGCAGAAATGACGGGGATTTGATCTCAGTCAACTGCCCGGGTCTGCAAAGCCGCCTAGCTTTATTGGACCATCCGACAGGCGTCGTCGCCTGGCTTGCTTCCCGCCGTCGATCATCCCGTCTCTAGCCTCTAGTGCAGCATTGCTGCCTCCTTCTGGCTGCAAGGGGGTGTAGTGCGGTAGTCAAGTAGTGTATGCGTAGGGAACATGGAGGGGAGCCCGAGTGTCAACATACCACTGAAGGCAGAGAAACCCCGGCTTGGCCCTGCAAACATGCTTGGCTGGGCTGCGATGGGCTGCAGTGGGAGAAGATCAAGAACCCAAGGTTGAAGCAAGAGGTTGAGATGGCAGCAACACGGCGCCGCCTCTACCTCTTTCGATGCCTTGTGCATCTGCGCATCGCCAACCAATTCTTGACATGATCAGTGTCGTCAAGTCTCCAGCACACGCTCCCCTCATTTTCAAACAACGACTTGACCCGACAGTCCTCTCTGTCACCGCCGAGGTTACAATCACGCTATTCTCCAGCGGGAGGATGAATCCACTGATCGCCCCCGGGGCCGAGTGCTTCACCTGCACTATTAGCAATTGGGCTGACCAATTAGTGGTGACAGGAAACATCGAGAAAGAAACGAGCAGGGCAGGGCAGGGGCAGGGCAGGAAAGCTCCGAGATTCAACCCCCCCCCCCCCTCCCCCGGTGAGGCACAGAAACTCCACGGCGTCTTCTTGACGCTCGCGTACAGGCAACAGGCAGAGGCAGACCTCAGCTCAGAGGAGAGGCAGTGTCGTAAGTGTACTTACCTACCCATACGGCAACAGAGAAGAGCGCAAGCCTTGCTTGAACCCCCATCTTCACCAGCACCCTTGATTAGTTCTTGATTGTCTAATACAGGCTACCGGTAGAGAGTATCACGCGTTATTGATCGACCCTCTGAGACCAAGGCGAAGGAAGAAATAAGCATATTCAGGGGGTGCAAAGCAATTCTGTCTGGGTTTCTTCACATTACCGAGTACTCCGTACCTCACCGTTTATCGCGACTTTTTATTTTTTATTTTTTTTGACAGCACTCCCAGTCGGGACAATTTGCGCCCACTCCGCAGCGGCATCAGAGATCGTCATTTGGCAGATGCGCCCCGGAAGCCCGAGCAGCCGAAGCGACACCGACGAGTAATTTGACCCCCAACGACCTTTTTTCGGTCGAGGCGAAGCAGTACCGTACCAGTAGTGTACCTGCTGTACGGATACGGATACCTAGGAGTATTATACCTTGCTGGGCTCAAGATCTCCATAGATCTCCGTCGGCTTTCATCTCGGCCGCGGACGACACCGGCCAAACCCAACGCTCCCAGGCCCTGCTGTTGGCTGTTGTACGCTCGACCGGCGCAGACATTGGCACATTGGATTTCAGCCTCCAGAAAGCACGCTGATCGTACGCTATCTACGGATATACTTAGCTAGAGGTGGGCAGGCCGCAGACCAGATACCTATCTCAAAGACGATCGTGAGAGACATCAGGTCTAAGCCGGTCCGGTCCCTGGATCTCACTCTGAGTTTTGAATCAGATGTAAGTCTCATCTCTCTATAGCCAGGTTTGCTGCATCCCTCCATGCGGATCTCCCGATCTCCTCCTTTTTTTTTTCCCACACCTGATCTTCCACCGGCTCCCGTGCCTTTCCTTGGTAGGTGTCCATGATGATGGTGCCATGTTAGCAAAATGTGCCCTCTTTCAGCTACGCTATCTGTGGCATGGGCTCACCAACCTTGCTTCATGCACTTCTGAGTTCTCGCACGCACACACACTCTCTCTCTCACTGTACGGAGGACTGCCACTCTCATATCTTCTCCTCTCGTCTGGCCCCCCCCTCATGTCCTCCCAAATGCCTCCCCCCCGTTTTCAAAAGGCACGAGCACACAGGGTTTGTATTGGATGACGGGTTGGTTTAGCCTGGGGTCTCCCTCGTGTACATTCGCACTTGTACATTGCCTGACAGGTCTTGTGCAAGGTCTCCGGTGGTTGAGGGGGTGCGGACGGACGCATGCAAGGGCTCAGCCGGTCGGTAGTATCCCAAGCCAGATCCAGTGACACTGGAGCGTGCCGCTTGTATCCCGATTGCACACACTATTACCGCACCCCTCCATGCCGTTAGATGAGCCCCGGTCCATCCTAACCCTGGCCACATGCCACAGTCGGTCTATAGCCATTCCTCTCGTTCATCCCAACCCTCCCGCTCATTGGGTTTGCTGCAGCTGCTCACAGGAGCTATGGCCAATCACAGTACGCTAATCCGTGGTTCGCAGACATCAAATCCCATCTACGGTTGATCGACACACGCCTCAAGCCTCTCTCACACTCTCACTCTCACTCTCTTCTACGATACCCCCCTCCCGCAGTCTGTCTCTCACTCACGCCTTCACGCACTCACTCACACACACACACACTCACACACACTCACACACACTCTTTTCTTTCTCGCTTCCTCTCTTCTCAGTACCTCTATTGTCCGAACGCAAAAGTCAATCTGAAGCTTCTCCCGCCCTAATAAGCGTGCATCTTTCCAATATCGCGAGCAACAAGTGACAAGCGGTGATCGCCTCACTGCTTATATGTTTCCCGCCAAGCCTGCCAACACCGCAAAACCTCTCTGCGGATAGAAACACCTGTTCTTGCGAGTCTTTTGGTTGTGCTGTACATCATCTGTACGTAAGGTACCTTACTTACCTAGCAATCCCCTGGTACTGCCTCTCCTGCGCTGCCGCTCATCACGGTCGATCTTGACGAGTAAGTCCCCTCCATAATTCCTTTTTCCTGTCCTCAATCTCAGTCTTTCTCTCTTTTTCTGCCCTCTTCTTACCCATCTATGGATCCAGGCCCCTCGCCCTGAGCTTCCCGATGTTCCCTGTCATTTGTCATTCCCCTTCTTCTTCCTGCAACGGCCGTTTCCTTCTTTCCCTATTACGAACGGTCTCTCCCCTTCAGTCTCCCTGCATGAGAGACCTTTCGCTCTTCTTTTGCTTCTCACTTTTGACACTACAGCCCCGTGTCTTGCCTTTGGGCTACAAGTTGGTTAAGCTACCACGCTACCTATCCACGGTGTCTGGGTAGCAAGAAAAGGGCAGTTCATTCACCAACTTGAGCGACAGCCTTATTCCCTTGCCACACCCCCAAATTCTCTATGAAGCAAGTCTCTCCTCCCAACTGCATGCCAACTCTTGCCAGCTGAAGCGGTTCCTATACATCATCATCACCATCCACGAATACCTACAGCCACTCAAACACGCGCAACACCCTTCCTCAATGAACAACTGACTCCTGCTCCCCACCCTTTTCTCTTCAGATGAATGAGACCTTGTTGCTCATAAGACAACTGGAACCTCGCATCTCCAACGGTGGTCCCTATCCCTGCCCAGCCTTGCCAGTCCTCTACAAGAATCCATAACCACGTTCAGGTTGCTTCCTGTACGGATACCTAGGTACCCTTACCATACACACCCCCCTCCCCTCATCCCCACAAATGCCACCCGGTCTTGAGTCCCTCCTTGCCCGCTTCTTCCTCCTCCGCCAAAAGCTACTCGTGGACCAGATTATCTCCACTGGCTAGGGAAGGACGCAGAGCCCTCTTCCAAAAGAAACGACGAGGGGTACTACTGTAAGGGAGGGTAGTCGGGATCCCCAAGACGGAGCTATTGGTACGTGAGCTTCCTGTTAGTGCGGCAAGCAGACCAAAAGCAATATCCATCTTCCCAAGGTCCCTGTTCCCTCCCGTGTGGATCTGTCCGGCCGAACCTCTCTGTCGCCACAGACTCGTCGTCGTCGTCTTCCCTTCAACACTCATAACACACGTACCGTACCTGGCCTGCAGGGAGACAGACTGGCTTTGCTATCTCTCTCTCCATCAGACGGACCTGGGCATGCGAGAAATGCAACACCACTGCCCCGTACCTCGTCAACATTCCTCATCTACCTCCTTCACCCCCGCAACAAAATCAGCGACAGAGTCTGACTTTCTGAGTCCCAGTCTCGTCTCTCCCTCTTACTCCCCATCTCCTACTCTCTTTCTAGTTTCCCCATTTCTGTCTTCGCCTACCCCGTTCATGCCCGGTGAGTAACCTCACAACCGATATTCGGGCACTTCTGGCTTGGTGGACCTCGCTCGCAAACCTGCTGCTCTTCTCGCCGAAGAAACGCACGAGTGCTGCAGCATCTTTGAGCTTGTTTCCTTCAAAGGACGCCTGTTTCTAACTCTCTTGTTCTCGCGAACAGGTTCGCCATCGGCCTACAGGACCAACGAACGAAGCACGGTTCAGCTCCACGTCTCTGGCATAGTCAACGGATTCAGTCTGTTTGTCAACAACCTCTAGCCCTGATTGGACACAACACTGGCGAACACCCCGGCCTAGACGGTTGAGTACGTGATCCCTTCCTCTACCTGCAAGCTGTTGCATGGCCACGAACTCCAGCAAGAAGCCGGCATGCCGCTCGCTGCATCTTGCCGTCCCCAGCCAGCAGTTCTTGCGAAGGAGCATCAACGCTCCACCTTGGGAGCATTCAGGCTGACTTGCGTGCCAATGAACAGTCCCAGCACGGCATCTTTCAGTCGGTTACCAACGCGTTGGAATTCTTGGGTCGTCCCGAAACTTGATCTGAGATTTCGGTTTGCCAGCGCCACGGCGACCAATGACAGGTGCATCGGTCTGAGTTCACTTCGCGCAACATCTGCCCTCAAAGAGCTGAGCTTGGTTTAAGATTGCCGCTCCTGGGTATCTTCTCAGCCTTCCCGCTTTCTCCATTTCTCCAACTTGCTTCGCTCTTCTCAACCTGGTATCATCACCCGGCCCGACCTCTACAGCTCGCTCCTCGATTCCAGTCGCGTCAAACCTCCACAATAATTACAGCAGCCGATCTTCTCAAATTCCTAGCGCCACCAGCCAGCTCGGATACGCCATCCACATATCTGAGTACGGTGTCTCAAACCAATCCTGCCGGGAGAATATCCTGAGACTGACGTTCCTCTACTAGGAATTCTCCCTTCCCTCGCACTTGTCCTTGCCCTGTTCAACAAAACTCGCCCGGACTCTAATCACAGCAATCTCAAGACATATCTCTCCCTTCCTCCCTTTGTCCCTCGACGGTCCCACAAGGCCATAGTCTCTTTTCCTGTCGTTGCAACACTGCTCCCGAAACAGTGGTTTGCATTTTCCCGACACCAGATCACGCATCCTTTCCCAAGTGCACCCTCTTCTACAGCTTGAATGTCTGCTGCGAAGTTTGAGTGTGCTTCCTACAAGCATTTCGAGGTGAGTCAAAACTTTCCATCTCAACGTGGAGTTGAGCCACCCCCGAGACGTTGTTGGCCGCATCACTCGACAACGCCTCGTGCTATCTTGAAGAGCGCGGTAAGGCTGACGAGGGGTACCTCACCGAGAACAGCCCGACTTCCACCCGCAAAGGCCAATAATCATCGGCGAGGAAGGCCTTGACTCGCCAGAAACGGTGACTCTCAAGTACGAAGAGGCAGTCGCAAGGGCCAACGGAGACCTTCGGGGCGACTCCCCGCCGGGCGGTCTCCTCCCCATGTCCCACTACGGGAAGCAACAGCCAGGCCCAATCCACGGTACGTTTTTTTCTCTGTAGTAAAGGCGAGCTTGATGGACTTTGTGTGATCTTTTCGGTTCCCATGAGCGTTTTGGCGCAATACACCCAGTTGGAGTGCTATGGCTAACACGAACGTGTGTCTTGCAGGGTATGATTCGTCCCGTGGGTATCAGGATGCCGGGTATCAGCAATATGGAGCGCAAGCCTACCCTGCGCAGCACGGCGGTGCAGGCCAGCTCACCGCAGCCCAGATGAACCAGGAAGCTTTTGCCGCCAACAGTGCGGTGGGCTCGTACATGTCTGTCAGTGTAGGTCCATCGGTGGTATCATGTCAACCAAGTTCTGGAATGGCGGGCACCAAAGTGCAGGTCAAGATCAACTCGCCATACGATCTCCTCACCGTGGCGCCTTTCTACTCCCTCGTTTTCGGCGCGAACAAGGTGCAGGCACAACCCACCAAAGAATCTCAGGACAGCAACGGCTACATGTTCATTGTCTCGGCCGATGCACCGTCATTTGTGGTCACCAGCTGTGCCAGCGAAAACGTGCCAGTTTTGGTCCTGATTGAAACAGAGAACGGCGAAGAAGTGTTCAAGGCGGCAGCGGGTCAATTTGTATATCACGAAGCAGGCCCAGGTGCTAGCTCAGACAACATCACGAGGAAGATGTCAAAGTCACCTGAACAGCAACATCAGTCCCCCAGGTCAGCAAGCACTCAGCTCGGCAACGAAGCCAGTACAAATACGTACGACTTTGCAACAGCTCCGCAACAGCCTGCCCAGTCTCCCTATGGAAACTCATTCTCGCAAGACAACAACAATACCAACATGCTCAGTGCTTACCGAACCAACTCGTTCCCGGAGCAGCATTACGCCCGAGCGGTGCCCCCGCCGTTGCGGCCGCCGATGGCCGGATGGCAGGCATACGGACGAACGCCCGGCCCCCCCATCACGCACACGCAGATCTCGCGTCCTAGCTTGACGCCGCTACCGATGCCATCTGCCACGATGCCTCTGCTTGTCAGGACCAGCTCGATCCCAAGCTCTCCGGGAGGCGGACAGCAGTCTGGTTACAACCACTGGGGATCTTATTCCAACAAGGCTCAACTAAAGATTGTTGGCAAGCTCGATACCATGTCTACCGAATGGTCTCCCGAGGAGTGGTCCAACCGAAGACGCATCGTCATGTTCAGCAAGAAACAGACAGGACCGACGCTCACGGCAACCTTCCGACCCGTCAATGTCAATGAGAGACCACCCAACAGTATCTGCATCAGCTGCATCTGGTGGGCAGAGAAGAACGAGTGTTACGTCACGTCTGTGGACACTATCTACCTCTTGGAACAGCTTGTCGTTGCTCCAGCCAGGTTCACTGTGGAGGAGAAGAACCGCATCCGCCGCAACCTCGAGGGCTTCAGGCCTTTGACAGTCAGCAAGGCCAAGGCCGACTCGGAGGAATTCTTCAAGATCATCATGGGATTCCCGAACCCGAAGCCGAGGAACATTGAGAAGGACGTCAAAGTTTTCCCGTGGAAGATTTTGGAATCGGCGCTGAAGAAGATCATTGGCAAATACAGCGCCAGCCCCTCATCGACTCTTCCAGCCTCGCACCTCTTGACGCCCACACCGGTCAACGCGTATCCCCCGCCGCTCCCGACGCCGCCAGCCCCAACTGTTGCATCAGACCATGTCAGTGCCTATGGCGTTCCATCGCAAGTCCACCACCACGAAGGGTTGACCTCACCGCGGTCGATCACCGGCAGCACGCATAGCTGGCCTGCGTATTCCACAGGACCACCGCGCAACCTTTCTCCCGCACTCACATCAGTGTCGCCGCGGCAATCTGGACTACGTCTCGCTGCACCTCTACCAGCTGTCAGCAGCTATGATAGTCGGTCGATGACGAGCCATTCATACGGCGGCGGGCTCCAGACACCGCTGGGAAACCAGCATACACCGCCTTCAGCCCCTGGACGGTGGGATCCTACGATACCAGCGATGCATGCACCAACTACCTATGCAGAGCAGTATCAGTCCATGACTGCGCACCACACCCCAAGTCACCAAGTATACGGTGGTGGCGGATACGGGGACGGGGCGCAACGGGCTTGACGCCGCGGAGGCGCCTAGGTGGGAGCGAGGGTGCCTGACAGGCGGCGGGCCAGGTGAGCGACGACGACCTGGCCGAGGAGGCAAGGTGCCTCGCGTCTGGTGAGGCACAAGCGTGATGTCCCGGAAGCAACACATCAAGTCTGGTCAAGAATTGATGGAGTGAGTCACTACTTTGGGACCAGGGTCGAGGGGTACGGGAGGGGTTTGGAGACACAGGGCAACCGCGTGAGCGAAACACGGGAACAAGAGCAGGGCTGGACAAAGGGAAGGGAAGCATCAAGAGATGTCGTCGGAGAGCAAGTCGTACGTCGTTGACTTGATTGGGGATGGCCAGGCTGCGGCTTTGGACAGGCTGCACGAGGAAGATGGAGGTGTGGTGTAGGGGTCCACGGGTTTATTCCCCCCCCGGTCACACACTTGCATCTGCCCGTCGCACTCCTCGTCTTGGTCCCGGGTTGACTGTCACTGGGAGTAGTGCGGTGCTTGAGCATGAGCATGAGCATCTACACTACTACCGAGTAGGACTTTTGGTGTGGATGGGTGGAGACCCTGGAGGTGCTGTCAGCTGCTGTGGCGCAGACCAATGGAGGCTTCCGGAATCGAATCCACTTTTCCCGATTTAGATGGAGTCGGCGAATCACCTCTGCCCCGCTCAGCGACCGGCACCGCCAGCTCCACTCCCCGGCATCGACCTTGGGGATTACGAGCCACTTTTCCTCCGACGCACCATCCTCAACCCTCCCTCTCTCTCCCCCCTCCTTCGCCATCTCAGCTGGGAGCCTATCACCCCGTCTCTCTCTCTCAGTCTGCCTCTATGTATGCTCTGGGAGGCGGGGAAGCTTTCGATGTTTCCCTCTTTTTCGACAGCTTTCAGTATGGATGAACCCCTCTCTAGACCTTCACCGCATTGTCACGATGTGCAAACGGTGCAGGGGCAAGCGGCGCCTACTTTGCCTCTCTGGTCACACTCTTGTCTATCATCCATGACGGGACGATTCTAGACCACCTATCACCGCCGCGTTTGTCCGCCTGCACTTCGATAACGGATCCGAGCCTCGACCATCAACGTCGCCAATCAGTAGCTCTTTCCTTGGTGCATGATGGGTTGGGGGTGTATCTGGTGATCGTCTCTTGGAGGGGTCGCCTGTATCCGTCCGGCCTGCATGACGTACATCATCTGCGTCAAGGAGCTACCGAACGACACCGCGCCTTATCCGCCTGCTCCAAAATGCCAGACACTACTCTGTCTTCTCCAGACCCGTCTTTCAACCGGCTTGTCTTCGACCACTCGCTTGCCTTCCCGCCGGGCCTCTTCGGTCGTGCATTGGCGTTCCCGTGTTCCATACATGGGTTTCAAGGGCTCACCCGAGCCATTCACATGGCCTCCAAGTCTAAGCAAGCGCCCCTAAATCGACGACCAAGAACGAGCCGGCTCATCTGTCACGAAAAAGACAAGGAAGCATATTCCTGGCCAGGATATCTGTTTCCCGGGCCAAGATCAGTAGCAGCCCCCATCGTCACAGCATTCATGACATGCCTTGGCGCTCGACTCGCTTCGCAAACGCGGGTGGCGCGGCTGAGTTTATTTCCACGCAGCCCGTCCGACCCTCCACTGCGCACTTTCGCTACTGACCCCAAGATCGGCAAAGACGGGGGCGCGGACTGATGCAACTCCGACCGCGACGCTGCCAACGACGCGTACTCTCGCGGCCTGGGGCTGGCTCACCACCTTGGCGTCGATTTCCCACACCACCAATCTGTCTGCCTCCTTGCCCGAGACACTCTCATACTTGTTTCAGGAAATGACTGCAGTTCGAGCTGCCCACTGCCCACATAGAAAGGATACAACGGTGTTTGTCTACGGCTCGTTTGGTGATAGACTCGGTTGCATTTCGCTCATCTTTCCCCCATAGAGGACCGCCCACTACTACCCCACCAACGACTCGGCATTATAACCAATACGACTTTTTCCGCCTCTTCAAACCCCCTCGGTCTTTGGCTAGCAACATTCACGCGGCCTGCCGGGGCACCTGACGTCGCTTATCTGGACCACGTCTCGGCAATCTCAACCATACACGACAATCACCTCCACATCGCTACAATCACATCACTCGCGCTGCAACGACACTCCTTGCTCTGAACCCTCCCCCACAGAACACAGCACAACACAACACCCAACATATCCTATACAACGCTTTCATTATCTTTCTCCTTCTCCTTCTCTCTCTCTACCTTCCATACATCTCATATTATCTATGCATTTATCTTTACTGGCGCGAAGGGGAAAGGGGTTGGGATAGAACGGGGGAGAACTTGGACTGGGGCCAGTCAAATCATGTAAGACTTTCTAGAAGACGGTCGAAGAGGAGGAGGGAATTGGAACGGACAATGTGCGGACAGGGCGACGGAGAATACACGGGTTTCACAGGTGTCTTTGGTATGGTACAGACCGGGACAGGTCGGTTCTCGGGGAATCAGGTAACGGGGATACAACATTCTGGTGGGCTGCACATAGCATTATACCCTTCGCTTTGCTTTTGATGGCTTCGGGATCTGGGTTTTCGGTATTGTCACATATGGGATAGTCTCCTGATAATCATAATCGCTTGACATCTTTAAGAAAGTCGGTCCTTACTCCTCGCCGTGTGATGTAGTATGATTCACTACTTCCACCGATCAAAGCAAGCGCCTTTGGCCGTGATGAACGTAACCTAACGAGACCACCTCGACTTGTATAAAAGAAGGCGACTATCAACTGGCCATGAAACTCACCATCGAAACATCCACCACTCAACCAGTGCTATCAAGGCCCTCAGACGTTGAAACTAACATCTTCATCGGCATCACAAGCTCCAACAAAACCACACGAAAATGGCAAGCGACTCGAGCGTAAACGCCCTGGTAGGCATCCTTACCTTCTGCATGGTCGTTGCATTCCTATTCTTCTGCTTCCTCCTGTACATGCGCTTCGTCAAGCGGCGCGTCCTCGTGCCCGTCGATCTGGGACCGCGCAGAGGACGGAGTACCACCGCCGTACGGGGCAGCGTTGGCGGTGATTCTGCGGCGGGGACGGGGGGAGGATAACAGAGATGTTGGGAACGAGTTGGGCCGGTCTGGTGGTGCGACGACTGAGGGGCCGGCGAGGGTGGTTTGAGGTCCACCGTACTGATGGGATGGGATCGGGATAGTCAAAGTTTGCAACAAAGGCAAGGGCCGTCCGTCACCTGGTGATGCACGAGAGGCTTGTCTTGGGAGGGAATTCGATAGATTTAACATGACAGTATCAAACAGTAGCAAAATTGAGAGGACGTCAGTCTTGGGCGAAAAACAAATACTCCATCGTTAGTCTACCCCCATGCGCGAGGTAACTCATAAAACTCAAGATATCCAAAGTTCCCATGGCACGACGCCTTGGATTTCGCCCTCTCTTTCCCTTGTTCATATTCCAAACCGCATAGCTGCAAATTTACCTTGGCAATAGTAGTACTTCTTGATAGTATCTTCCGTGATGCCCATATTGGCGAATGCCTCTCGAAGCCACCGAAGCTGTTGGTTTCTCATGTTTGCGTTGGCACCGTGCGGCAAGTGAATCGTGATACTTGCCGCTTCGGGCTCCCCGTTCGCTCCAGCCGGTTCCGGGAACGCGGAATGGGGCGTCCAGCTGAACTTCTCGCGAGATCCCTCCTGGGTCTGGCGGGAAAAGTTGAACGCGCTAAAGAGCTCAAACACGTTCCTCTTGACGACGGACCCTTCACCGTGGTTCCAAATACTTTCTATGGTCGACCAAACTGACCTGCTTATCGTGACCTTGTCCGTCTCGTCCTTGTTTTCTGCCTCTTTATCCTCAGGAGTCGACACCACTACGAGCTTGGGTAGACGAGAGTCCCAATGGGAAGGTTCGCAGTGGTCCGGGGGCGCGACGGTCATAATCTCTCCGCAGATCTTCTTGCAATCGTACCAAGGCCGTTTCAGTTCCAAGTCGACTTTGCCAGGGGGTTCGGCAGCGAGATATCGTTGAACACCGGCTGGTCGACAATACCTTGGCGTCGCGGCATTTTTGCTGACTTTGCTCCTCTTACTCCCGTGCCTCACGATACCGCCGCCACCCCTACCACCGCCCGCAGGGCCCGTTTTCTTCTTTGACTTCTTGAACTCCTTCGAACCCTTCGACTCCTTCGACTCCTCTGAGTCCTCCCACTCTAACTCTTTGGTCGACTTTACAAGCCCGCTGCAGAGTTCTTGCCAAAAGCTCTTCACCCACAACTGGGCTAGCAACGAATGCCGGCCGTAGTCTTTGTCTCCATGCGGTTTGTAGACGACCCCGAGCAACCATTGTGTGTATCTCAGCGTCTCCTCTTGCACAAGATCCTCGAATGGCACGTCGTCAAAACCAATGAGAAAGGGGCCTACTGGACTTTCACGGCGCCGCGTGCTGCGACCTTTGGCATCCAGGAGATCTTGTCCGAATGGATGTACAAGTTGCATGTGATGGCAGAGTAGGCCCGTCAAGTGTATAGCTTCATAGTCTCTTGTGACTGTCGTCTGAGCCCCGAGTGCTGTGTGTCGCTCATAAAGCTTCGTGCGCAAGGCCCGGATGAGCTTCGGTAAACCAATGGTCCCAATGTTGAAGTTGCTCGCAAGTCCGGTGTGGACATTCTTGATTGACCACCAGGTTGGACTATCCAACATTTCGATATTAGGTTCGTTCATGTCGTTATTGTCAATGTCCATTGCGTCTCCGTGCGTTGCCGACTCGCGGTTCCTTACAGTGAAGTCTATCTTGGTACCGGCATACTGCTTGGGTAGGTCCCAATCATCCTTGACTACTTGCAAATTCGGCCAGCCAGTATCTCGACGAAAGAGATGCCGGGTTGTTTCGCTGGCAAACAAGCCGCCATGGCCGACAACGTGGTTTATTCGACGCTCCACAAACCAACGTGCATGGAAGCCCAAGTCGACCCAGGCCTCCTTCACTTTAGGTTGATCGTCTGGTATTTCTAGACGCTGGGAACCTTCTGAGCACCAAAGGTTAACTCCGCTGGCACGAGCAAGGTTCCACAAGGCATCGATTTTGCTGACCAGGCATTGCCACATTTCGACTTCGTATAGAGCCCACTGAACGACGCGTCTGATGATGTCATTGATCAGACTCTTCTTTGCGTCAATGTCGCGTGCCAAAAAATGAGGAAGTTCGCCCTGGTATGACACCGCCATTGCTGCTTTCTTCGGAACATGGTGGACGGAGGTCTGGGGTTGCTCGGATACGTGTCCGTAGTGCTGCTGAAATTGCTCATCGACGCATTGCTGGAAATAGAATGGATCAAGCCAAAGGCTCCTCAAATGATCTTTTGACCATTGTAGTTGCTGTGTAAACTTCGTCTCGAATTCATCAAGCCATTTCCGGTTGAGAGAGGCCGGTGGCATGTACAGCCCATATTCGACTATTCCCTCATTTTCGAAGTAGAAGATCCTTTCTGAACGGTGTGCTTTTGTCCAGGCATCGACTCGGTCATTGTCGACCGTACCAGCGCCTACTTCTTCCCTTGGTTGGCCGCTTTTGATTGCTATTGCTTTGGTGACACTGTAGAGGATTCGGTAAAGCAGGGCTTGGGTATGGAGGAGATGGATGCCATCGGCCCAGGCAAAGAGGCGACCACTCTTGCGTAGATGTTCAAACATCCAGTCTTGGTCAGGGTCTCTTTGGTCAGTATGGCATATCAGAATGAAGTCGTCCACGATGAAAAAGTAGGGGGCGCTTCGCTTCAGTCCCATCTGTTTGCCCATCTGGACATCATCTGGAGTGAGGATCCCAATGAATCGATTGTCCACAAATTTGGGCAGGAACAACTTGCTAGCTCGACCAAGATGCAGTGCTTCCCAGTCTGCGAATGTAAAGGCACTGGGGTCGCAATTCATTCGGTTTATGATGAGATGTGCCAGAAGCTTGGGATTGCTGAGATCGGATTGGTTCATCCAGGATAGTAAGAAGGCCCTGTAGGCCCGTTGCGTGTCGTTGGTCGGATCGTCTCTGTAGATGACGTTCTTGAACGAGATTTGAGCGCCTCCATTCTCGCATGCACGAGTTTCGATGTCTTTGAAGAGCCTATAGTATTCCTCCAAGTCGGCACTGTAATTACGCGGAAGCTCTTCGTGTGTGCCAAATGCATTCAATTCGGGATGACTAGTAAGGGCAGCTTTATACGCCCCATTGACAAGTGTTAAGAGCTCGTCGCGGGGCAGGAATGGGTCGTCCTCGAGGAGGTTCGTGATAACTTCCACGTTGACCTTCCCGCGGAGGCGCCTGAATGCTGCGTATGACTTGGAGAGAGCTCGAATCACCTGAAACTCGAATTCCCGAGCGTCTCCTTGGTTTATCAGCTCTGTGGAGACGAACTCATTGGTTGCATCTGATTCCTCAATCGGGCCTCGAAATCCGATATCTCTTAGTTTTTGTTTGGGTTGTTTTTCTTGAGTGCTCCATGGGCCATCTGGCAGCCAGTTGAGAGACGAGTAGACCTTGTCCAGATATTGCTCTGATTCGTCATAGGCATCCTGCGATAATTCTTGCATAGCGAATCTAGAAATACGGACAAGACGGGTAAAAGAATCGGAGTGGATGCGTGCTGAAAGGCTGATAGAAAGGTGCAGAGATAGCCAGCGTCGTACAGAGTGGCTAGTAGTGAGGATTGAGGATGCCAGTAGCAGCGGGATACACAGACAATGAAGGGCGAGACATGGCTCAAGTACTCTGTTGATGAGGCAGGTTGAAATAAACGAGTTGCCACGATGGCAGGGCCTAGAGAAAGTTGCTGAAACCACGAGGACAGGGAAAGGCGCTCAGTTTCAATGACATTGTTGGAGAAAGCATGATGAAAGAGACTTCTCTTGTTGGCCGACACAACAATCCGATGAGCTAACAAAGCAACGAAGGGAGAGGGGAGGATGTGTTGGTGAGTGACAAGGTGATTATTTCTGTCATCTTGACAGATTGACGAGAAGGAGAAGCGGTTTCGAGCTTGATAGGAGTAGGATAATTGTGCTTGGGATCAGTTCCCCTCCAACGGATTCCCGAAAGAATTTTGTAATGGAAGAGCGTCGTAGCTCAGGATTTGGAGAAAAGGGAAGTTGGAAGGGCGTGGTTTAGCCCAATTGGCATACTGGACGAGCGGGGAGCGTAATTGGAGGGGTAGAAATGTCAAGTTGGGTTGATGGCTTCAGACATCCATACAGCTGTATGAAATGGGATGAAGTGCGATGGAAAACGACAACGGTGGTGAGAATGTGGTTGTGGAGGGGTAGGTAGTCGTGGTAGGTTTTCGGAGAAGTCAAGGCTCGGTTTAGGAAGGCTTGCATCATTGTTCTGATGGAGCATACGATCAGGTACACGCTGCTATGAATTTATGATAAGGTAGCTACTGTGTGGTTCCTGAGTTAGCCGTCAATAGCGCGGCTGTTGGTGGGCAGCAAGTTCTGGCAAGTCGCTACCTACATGTTGAGGAAAGGTGAAGGTGTCAATCGTGACTGTCAAGGAGATTTCCCGTGGCATTTTGCAGGCCGACGGGTGCCGGATCCGGGAAGGCAAGGGAGGACCATGCTTGATTCAGTTAGAGCTACGGGTCTTCGGATGGACAAGACCCATAGCTGTGCGCACCAACAAGGACTAGCGCCCTGTGTAATGAGTGGCGCTGGGCGCGCAGGAGCCATCTGGCCGGGCCCACCGTCCCACGTCGTATTTCCACGAGGGCAGGAGCTAAGACCCAAGAAGGTCAGGAACGCCAGGGGACCACTGGGAAGGAGGGTCCTTCCTTTTTTCTTTTTGTTTTCCTTCCTCGCCTAAGTCCTGACTTTCTTTGTTTCGTTGCTTCCCGTTTTAATGTCAATAAAGTACGGAGTACCTACTTACCTTACTTGACCAAGGTACCAGTAAGGTACTACGTACAATGAAAGGTCGGTCGTGATAGGCAACTGCGTGGAAGAAGCAAGAACCCCGAGAACGTTCCGCAAAGAACACGTCCACAGGGGATGCCACCATGAATATTGTTGAAATGCATGGGATGCCAACTTGCCCGATGAATGACAGTCAGCTACAGTCTAAGGTACAGTACGGACACAAGTACCTATTCATACACCGGGCAGTTACACGGCCATGCCCAGAATCCAGGGGCAAGGTCAGCTCTGGACGCGCCATTGGGTGGACGTTTGGCCAAGACCAATGGACAAAGGCATCAACCCTCATTACTATCAGCAATCGGCCCAGCCCAGCCCGGGCGCCGCAGTAGCTCGACCACCTCAGCTTGGGCGGCAGGTGGGTGGTAATATTGCCTCTTTGCATTCCCTCCACTCCCACCGACGCATCCGCAGCTCCGTCTACTTGTACATACAGTACAGCCCGGTGAGATAATCCTCTCCAGATCAAGGTACCTTACTCTGTACTTGGACGAGCTGAAGATGACCCTTATCGCGCAAAGACACCCAAGACACGCTACTGACGTACAGAACGCACCAGTGCCTGCGCCAGTCCCAACGCCAAACGCCAGCGGCAACGCCAAACCAGTAAACGCCAACGCCAACGCCGGCACCGCCAGCATGGGATTTTTCATTCCTGTTTTCTCTTCTTGTTCTTCTTCTTCCCCCTCCTCCCTCCGAGCTGCCGTCTCTTTCAGACTTTGTCTTTTTTTCAGCTCCGCCTCCTGCATTTGTTGTCCAGTGCTTACCACGTCGTTTCTTTGAGGAGGGTTTTTGGTGTTTAAACCATCCATTGTCACTCGTTTTTCCAAGTCTTGCCCGCCGACAGCCCTGCATCCATCACAATCGGAATATCCCTACCGTAATTCTGCCACTCTCCACGCTCGCTCATTCGGAATACACAGTCCTCGACAAAGACGAAACGCAGGAATCAAGATTGCTCCTATTGTCCAACTTTGCAAACCAAATCGATACTCGAGTACCGTCGTCAATCCAGGGCCCAGCACACTCGAAATAGCAAACGACACCCCCTGCGATACCCGTCGTCGCTTTTGCCTCCAAGGGCCACCCAAATCCATTCGACCCGAACCGCCCGGCCCCCAGTCGCTGTTCAACCGGGTCTCACCCACTCGAGAGCCTCAACCTTGAACCCGCCCACCATGCTCTCCACATTCCTCCTCGCCCTGCTGCCCCTCGTGGCAGCAACATCCTCCTCGAAACGCGGTCTCGTCTTCACTCCGAATTCCAATTGGCCTCAGGACAATCAAGTATGGGTTCAATCAGGTTCCGATCTGACATGGTATTACAATTACCAGGAAATCCCAAGCCCGGCCTTCTCGGGCAAGACTCAGGCCGAGTTCGAGTTCGTCCCCATGATGTGGGGTGTCTCATCGAACCCCCAAGACACGACATTCCTTAAGAGTGTGACGAGCTTGATCAAAGACAAAGGCATCAACATCACCCACGCCCTAGGCTTCAATGAACCTGATGGTCCCTCATCCTATGGCGGCAGTGATGTTGCCCCTTCTATCGCCGCCAAGGCCTGGGTTGCCAACTTCATTCCCCTTCAAGAGCTCGGCGTCAAGGTCGGTCTTCCCGCCTGCACCGGCGCTCCGGGCGGTTTGCCCTGGTTGAAGCAGTTCCTGGGCAACTGCTCCGCGCTCATTAGCACCGACGGAGAGACCAAGAACTGCACATACGACTTCCTCCCCGTACATTGGTACGACAACTTCGGAGGCCTGGCGAGTCACATTGGCGAACGTGTTGCAGCGTATGTTGTCACTCATTTCTCATGCTGTGCGCTGTCCCTCAGATAACTAACACTTGCCTAGGTTCCCCGACACCAAGATCTGGATTACCGAGTATGCCTACGCCAACCAGGAACTCTCCGCGACCCAGGACTTTTACAACATGAGCGCAGAGTACTTTGACCGTATCGACTACATTGAGCGGTACACGTACTTTGGTGCTTTCCGCTCCAAGACGAGCAACGTTGGCCCCAACGCCTCGTTTTTGAACAACGACGGCAAGTTGACAGACATTGGCTCATGGTACCTCGGCAAGAGTGCCACGGGCGTGAAGCCGACGTCCGGTGACAGTAGCGCCGCCGTTCGTGGAGGCGCACCGGTGCTTACTGCGATGGCGGCCACTATCCTCGGTGCCGTCTTCATTTTCGCCTCATGATTCAAACCGGCAACATGTAGATTTGGTCCTCCCCAACACGAGACGTGAGGGTTCTCATGACGATGTCATCATGATCTTATACGATGTAGGGCAGGGATATATACTACCCCCAGGAACATATTCATCGCATATACGGAGCTAGGATAATACCTTCTAGTCATCTTTTTTCCACATATTTGTAAGGTTTCTTTTCTCTCATCAAGTTATAGAACGCGGATTAGAGGGACAAAGAGCGGCGAAAAGATGTCGCCTTGAGCCCAGAAGACATTTTGGACATGTCCATAGAACGAATATATCTGACGACGTTAACAAAATCTGCACTATGTATATTGAACTGGACCAAGGTGAAAGCGGTGTTGTTGATTACGATACCTTCCATACCTTACATCGATGGTATCCTCGGGTTAAAGTCGGCATTAGCAGGGTGAGCCGTGGGGTTTGACTTTGATACAGAACATGGTCACGAACTCAAAGTCGAACCAAGTGTCATCTGATAAAAAGGCAGTGTTGGTCAGCAAATTCAACGGCAGTAGTTTGTCAGGTCGGTAGGACCGGGGTTCGCTGCGATGCGATGGCAGCAAGACGTAGCCGGCGGACGGCATTTCTGAGAGAGAATGACCTCGGCGAAAAGTGTTACTGGGTGTTAGTTAAAATCGCGCAAGAGAACGCGGCTGGCTAACAGAAGATATCCTCCGCGCTACTGCACCCCAGACTCCATGGGGACCCCCATCACTCGGGTCCTCAACTCCTACTGGCCGGCTCTGTGGCCGAGATGCCTCGGTCCAATTGACTCCCCCACAGCCACTGGTCTGGGCTGGAACTCAACGCCTGGGGAAAGACCCGAGCCCCGACACGATTGCCGGCAGCTAAGCCGTCATGAACCATGTCTACTTGACTACTTGACGTTGCTTGGCCCCCCCCTCCTTTCAATAACTGTCGACCAAACTCTCGAGCTTATTTTCCTCTTCACTTTACTTCTTCTCTGTCCTCGTTCTTCCATTGCTCCTTGAAGAGAAAAAACAGCCAAGCCGTCGTCGTAATACCTCCACAATATCATCAGACATTATGGCTCTCGAGAGAATCGGATCCATCGTGAAGCACCTTGCACCAGGTAGCGCCCTCAACCAGATGTACGTACGGTCCTTTTTGCGGACATGTGATTGCGTGTCTCCGATTCGGAGCATCACCACCTACAGCGGACGAACCAAACAGCTGACATTGCTTCCCCTCACAGCACCTCCAAGAACCCCGATGATATCGTCATTACGTTAGCCGTCCGCACGCCTTTGGCCAAGGCCAAGAAGGGCGGCTTCAAGGACACGACCCTCGAGTACATGGTGTACGCCCTCCTCAAGGAGGTCCGCGAACGGTCAAACATTGACCCCGCCCTGGTCGAGGATATCTGCATGGGAAATGTGCGT